CACCAGACTGGACAACTGTGAGCTGATAAAATTAGCATTGGTGCAATCTTACAACAACTAGCAACAACAAATGTTGGTGAGGGTGTGGAGAAAAAGGAACTCTCCTGCACTGCTGGTGGGAATGCAAACTGGTACAACCACTATGGAAAACTGTTTGGAGGTTTCTCAAACTGCTAAACATGGAGCTTCCATAGGACCCAGCAATCCCATTCCCAGGCATCTACCCAAAAGACACAAAAAGACACCTGCACCCCCATGTTTATTGCTGCTTTATTGACAATAGGAAAGACATGGAATCAACCCGAATGCCCAAAAGTAGATAACTGGATTAAAAAGATGTGGTCCATATACACCATGGACTATTACTCAGCAACCAAAATAATAATAATAATAAACTTATGCCTTTTTCAGTAACATGGATGGAGCTGGAAAAGATCATGCTTAGTGAAATAAGCCAGAGAGAAAAGGAAAAATACCGGATGGTTTCACTCACAGCAGGAGCATAAGGGACCAGGGAGGGAAAAAAAAAAAGAACAACTATATACCAGAGACATTTTACGGGGTGGAGTGGGGAATGGGATAAAAAATGGGGAGGGGGGGGAAGTGCACGGGACTACGGTGATGGCACACGGTGAATGGGTGATGGGAAGTTCACGGGGATTACAACTGAGGTGGAAAAAGGCACAACTGATGTGAAAATAAACTATTATAATAAAAAAAAATCTAAGAAAAGAAATTAGCGTTGGTGCAGCGTCCATAATGACAGCCAAACTACCCGGCCGCTCAGTTTCTCGCAGTAAACTCATGCTGGGACCAGGTGGCAACAGCAGTTACCACTTTGCCAAATATTCTCCAGGCGGTTTCCAGGCGGATCCTTGGCTGTTATGTTCCTCACCATCGTGTGCTCAGTCTCGGTCACTGAGTCACTCAACTATCTTTTGAAAGAATCAATGCACGTCCTGAATCAGCACAATTCACAGCGCCCTGGAAGGTCTCTTCCGAAGCCACCCCAGCAGAGGCTCTGAGAGAACATCCTTTAGCTAGAGTTAGCCTTCTTGGAGATCAGTTACTGCTCCAATTAAAAAATTTCCCCTTTGTAACAGCGTGGTGCCCAGGAAAAGGGGAGGTTCTGGGTCCCTGCCCCACCCAAGGGACAGTGGAGCTGAGCTGCGAGAAGCTGGAGAGGAGTCTAGGGAAGGGAGGCAGCAGGAAGCAGAGTCGGAAGGAGCCCTGAAGGAGGCCCTTGGAGCAGGGACGTGCGAAGAAGCTGCTCTGCTACTTGGTCCTGGGTGGGGGGGGACACAGGTGCTGGCCAGAGACCGCGGTGGGGGACAGTGGCAGCGCTTATCTAGGTACTGATTTTGCTCTTTTTTTCCACAGACTTCTCTGGCCGTTTCTGACCCTTTACCGGGTCCCCCCCAGAATGTGCTTTGGACTTGTGGCTGGGATTTGGGCCTCAGAGGCCCTGCTCTGGACTGACTGGCTGGGCATTGACCCACGAGGGAATGGGTAACTTTGGGTGCTTGATTTGGAAACTATATTGTCTTTTCTTATAACTTACTAGAGTTGGGGTATAGGCCAGAGGTGGGGGGGGGGCAGGGAGCGGGGGTGAGAGGATTCACCAGAGACAGAGTGGGGAGCAGAACAGGCGGATCCATTGAGATCCACTGCTGAGGGGAGCAGAAGGGAGAGGTCTGCCACACGCTGGGGGTCACTCCCTGGCCAGGGATTGAACTCGGTTTGCAGTGGCTGGTGGTAGCTTCATAGCGCTGAGACTTAGCCCCTGCGCCACCAGGGTGCAGGGTGCACCTGCCTTCATCCTCTAAAGGGATCCCCATACCATAGTGGCATAGTGGATCCCATACCAGTTTCTATAGTGGCAGCACCGGGTTGCATTCCCACTCACAGTAGGAGAGAGTTTCCGTCTCTCCACAGCCTCACGGGTTGTTTCCAGTCTTTTTTATCTACACAGCGCCCTCACTGGGGTGAGGTGATGTCTTACTGCGGTTTTGATTCGTGCTGCCCTTCTACAAAGCGAAGCTGAGCATTTTGTCACGTGCCTGGGGCCCATCTGAGTGTCTTCTTTGGAAAAGTATCTATTTATATCTTCTGTCCATTGGGTGCTTTATTTTTTGTTGTTGGACATTTAAATGACTCCTGATTTGTAACATGATATGAATAAAGCAGCAGAAACGTGACAACACATATACCTCTATACACATCTGATTACACCCTTATGACAAATCCCAGCAAGTGCAAATTGCAGGGTTGGAGGGCCTGAACATTTTTAAGGCATTTGACAGATCACGCCATGTTGCTTTTCGGAAAGGTACCAATTCACGTTTCCAGCAGCCCCATCTCCCGGCTGCCTAACACTCTGTGTTGGGGCCAAGAGTGATTATTTGGTTCATCTCTGTTAATTTGATGATGGGTGAAAAATGTATTAAGTTTGTTACTGAACCATGAACGAAATCAAAGATTAAAACATACACATATACTTTTGCCTAGTGAGCCAGGGGAGCTGGGACAAAAATCTATCGTTTCTCAAACGATTGAACTGGTAACATCAAAATAGTCTCTGAGCTGAGACTCAACCTGTTCAGTCCATTCTGATCCCAATTAGGCCAGAAGCCGACTACACTGGAAACCTTGACCTGGCTAATGAGGTCTACAACGCCAAGCCCCAGAGAGGGGCTTACAGATGCGCAGTTACAATCACCCCTTCCCCCAGCCAGGACAGGTGGGCGCAGGAAATGCAGAAAACAGGAGGAAGATCCCAGGAAGATGCTGCACAGCCAGGCGGCCAGCACCCTGGCCCACCACACCGCACCTGTCAGTCCACCGGCCACACGTGGACCCTCACAAGACATAAACCAAGCTGTGATGAGAAAAACTTTTTTTTTAAAGATTTATTTATTTATGCATACAAGAACTGGGGTGTAGGCCCCAGGTGGTGGGGTGAAAGGGTTCACCAGAGACAGAGCAGGGAGCAGGAGAGGCGGATGTACTGAGGGGAGCAGTTGAGGGGAGCAGCGCGAGACAGGAGCCTTCTGCTGGGTCCTGGGGGTCACTCCCTGGCGGGGTCGGCCCTCGAGATGGGGGCAGCTTCACAGCGCTGTTTCCCCTTGCGCCACCAGGGAGGCCCTTGCTGTGGACCGAGGGACCCTGCAGTTGCGGGTCAAGCGCTGACAGTGCCCGGTACACCAGCGCGGCACAGTCCCTGGCCAGTCTAACTAGCCCTTAGCGCCTGCATCGCTGCCTCTGAGCAAACGCTCGCTCGCTATCAAGGGGCCAAAAGGGAGTCAAGGAGGCAAACTGGTTTTTCTTTCACAGTTTCCAAGGACCTTTCAAGTACACACGTCAGGAGACACAAATACCTAAAGCACCCGAAATGAGCCCCATCCTTGATTACAGCAATACAACGGGCATAATGGACGGGCTCGCTAGAACGCAGGAGGGGCCTGTGTCCTCTTGTCACCGGCCCAGGCGGGTTATTTACAAACTGGGACCGACCGCACCATACAGGTGCACGTGCCCACTGGGGTTCGCAGTCCCTCGGCCTCCTAACGGCCTCTGCACCCTGGCGCCTCCGGAACAGAAGGTTCTGGAAGGGTCTCTCAAGGGGCGCCGCCTTCGTTTGCGGAAATGCGCCTCAGCCACAGCCCGCGCGCGTCCGCCCGGAGGCGGAGGAGCGCGGCAGGCTCACAAAGGAGGCCAGGCTGAAGCCTCACGGCCCTCGGCGCCACCGGGTCGCGCGAACATGGACGCCG